TTTTTGAATATTTACTCCACCAAGCTAAAATATCAAAATTATTTGTTCCCTAACCTAAAGTAGAAAAAAATGCTTGTAAATAAAAATTAAGTTCAATAAATGAACTTGTTGTTGATGTAGCAAATTTTTGCTTTCTATTTATTAAATAAAATAGTTTTTTTTCTCTTATACTACTGGGCTCAATTTCAGATTCAGAAATAAAAGATGCATCTGTACAACTTGTAGAATTATTTTCTATTACTCTATATTCATATAAACTGTACATTTAAAATAATAAACTATTAATTTCTTATTTTTTATTTTCAATTTCAATATTCATATTTTCATAATATGTTTCATGTAAAATATCTAAACCATCTTTCATAATCCTAGGATCAAATATTGTAGTTAAGCAATAATGAGGAGAAATGTTCTCCCAATGTTTTTTAAATTTATTTTCCATTATTTCAACAATACTTTTAAATTGTGGGTTATTTATATATTTTGCAAAACAATCACTAATCACCATTAATTGATAAGATAAATTACAACTAATTGGATAACAAATACTTGATAGTTCATTAGTTGCATCATAAAAATATTTTAAAAAATCTCTTATACAAATTGCTATTTCCTAGTCTTCCTCAAATATAATATCATTAGGCATTTTTGCATTATAAAGATCAGTAAGAATTTGTTTATGAGAAATACAACTTTCTAGCATAGCATAGGTAGAATTTCATTTATGTTTAACATCTAATATAAAATGTTTATATTTTAAACCATAATTTTGACATAAATATTTAAATTCTTGTTTTCTTGCTCCATAATACATAAATTTAAGATGTGACATGTACATATAATATGAAATAGTTTACCATTTAAACATGGTTTTAATTTATATTTTAAAATATTTATTGTATAATCATTATTACTAGCATTATCAAAACTAATAGAAAATAATTTATTCTCAATTCCGTAAGCATGTAAAGTATTTAAAATGCTTGCAACAATAGTTGGGCAAGTATGTGACCATTCAATCCTAGTAAAACATAAAATTGTTTTATTTAAAAACCATTTTTCATAAATAAAATGACTAATAACACAAATATAACTTATGTTAAATTTAGAAGTCCAAACATCAGAAGTAATTGCAACTTTAGAATTAAGATTTGATAACACGTAAATTAAATTTTGTTTTCATGAATAAAGAATTTTTAAAGCATCTAATCTAATAATATTCCTATAAACTTTTTTATATTGTGGATTTACATAATTACACAACCATTTTTCAAGTTTAGTATCTTCAACTAACAAAGATGGTTGTTTAGCATGTAAAATGTATTTTGCTAATTCTTGATTCATTTTTTCTTGAGAATATTTAAATGTACCAAAACCCTCTACCCAATTTGTGTGTGTTGTTTCTCTTACTTCTTCTTCTTTTCTTCTTCTTCTTCTTTTTCATGGTTGAGCAAATGTCTGCCCAAATGGCCAATGCCATTCTTGCTACAATAGCTAAAGTCTTTCCTACATATTTGGCAAACAACTATTTTTCCCTTCCCCTTAACCTCCTATACTTTAAATATTTTCCAAACCGAGTTAATTAACTTAGATGCCTTCTTTTTCTTTCCCCTAGTGTTAGTACTAAGGGTGGAAGTTCCATCAACATCAATAGCATCCATATCGGTACTAACACTATCATGATACAACTGAATATTGTTGACATTGAACAATGTTGGGGAATTGGTTTTGGGAGGAGTTGGCCATTTTTTAAAATTATAAAAAAATAAAATTAATTTAATTGAACTTACCTGGATTGCCAGTTCTGAATTCCAACTTGATTTGAATGGTTGAAGCCTTTCAACTCCAAGAGTCCAAGCCTCTCAAATTGCTAATTAACTTGAAATACTTGACCTGGTTGAGCAAGCATTCTTCTTGTTAAAATTTCAATAAAGTTGAGAATTGGAGAATCAGTCAATTAGAGTTCAGATCACTTTAGACTTCGGAAAATATATGAGAGGAAGAGATTAAAAGAAATTTTTAATTGGTGTGATGAGAACAGTGGAGAATATAGCTATTTATAGGAATTGAAAATAATTCAATTGCCCAAAATACCCTAAAAGCAAGCCGTTTTTTAGTTGTTGGATGAGTATTTTGGTCATTATAAAGTTACTTATCACTTTACCCAAAATGCCCCCTAAACTTGCTGTTATATAGATGTTTGGGGCATTTGTGTCATTTTTTCTTCCCACCATAACCAAAATACATAAATACCCCTTATATAACTGTTTGTAGCTGTTAGGGGGTGCTTCTATAACCCCCCCAAAAAAAAGCTGAAACTAGCCGTTGGGGGGTCCCTAACGGCTAGTTCTCAGGTGGGCCAAGCACGGCCCGCTACAGGCCTACGAGCTGTGCCGTGCTGGCCTGTGATGGACCGTGTCGCTTGTCGTGGACTCCAAATTTAACCCAGGCCCAACATGACCCACATGATCATGTCGGGCTTGGCACTGCCCGCATGCCGGCTTGCCAGGCCGATGCCGTGGGTGACATGGCCTAATTCACACCTCTATATACAGGCACCATGAACAAAACACAAAGGAATAAAAAACTGGCAATACTATAAACAAAAATTCCAAAATCACCTCAAGCATCAAACCTTGAAATAGATTATCATCTTTAGTTCATCTCTACTATTTGAAGAAAATATTAAGAAAAAAAACATAAATAATATTAATAGTAACAATAAAGTCCATCCAAAGGATACATCCATTTAGGAATCTTGATAGTGAGAACAACTCAAATGGACTGATAAAGATAGGAAGCAAAATAGAGGGAAGAAAAAGTTGCCAAATTTTCAAATACGACAAAAAAAAATATAGGAGCACTTCCATAGTCTTTAGAAATATGTTACAGATCAAACATAACTGGTCTACTGAACATATTCCTTATTGCAATCAATTCTGATTTTTTGAAAATTTCAAAAAAAAATCTATAAAAAATATCAATCAACCTCTTAATAGATTCTAGGGTTTCTTGTGAAGGTTTACTGGCAGGACATACAATTGTGGGCATCATGCTTAATGGAGAGAATGAGAGAAAGAAAACGAAAGAGGGAGAAAGAAATCAATGACTTACCTCGCCGGAGATGAATTCAGTTTGGTTCCCAGCTGCTGAAGGAGTGACAAGAGATGAGGGAGAGAGGGATGGAAACCTCATTATCGTGATATCTATGTTTCATTTTTTTATTGTGATATCTTTTTACCACGCTTTGCTCATTCGCCTTTGCTTCGACAAGACCCCCCCTTCCACTAATGTTATCCATCTTTTTTCTTTTTAATATAAAATGTTTTTATTAAAAATAAAGAAAAAAATGAGATCCCCCTTCCTCCTCCTAACCCCCCTCCTCTTAAGGAGGCTTATGCCTCTTTGTATTTAGGAGGCTAACGCATCTTGCATTTTGAACTATGTCTCATGCCTCTAGGTAGTGGAATGCCTCGCGTCACACCTCTGCGTTTTAAAACATTATTAACAATTAAACATAAACCGTCCAACATGTAAATATAATAATAATAGTAGTAACAGTAATTACTAATCAGTTTCCTCTCTCAAACTAGTATGGATGAGATTTGAAGTTAATAAGGGGTATAGTAACTGATGTTAAGATGCAAGTTTGGAGTTCTCTTTTCCTTACTTGCTCCAAAGCCAAGTTTCATCTCATAAAGGAGTGTTATTTCTTCTATTGGGAGGTAAAATTAAGAAACTAGACTAAAAATGTTAATTTCCACTCCTTTCCATATTCATAATGTCATAAAAAATATTGAAATTTCTTAATATAAATTTGGGTTGACCTTTAGTTCACATTTACAAATGTCAAAATTAATGCAGGGAACTTGTGGACTTTGATGGGCATTTAGCACCACAGGAAGAGACCAACTTTATAGCAACTATTTAACCTTTGGATTGTGATCACATAGCTCACTTCAAATTGATGACTCTAGTTATAGTTCAACTTAGTAGAATTCTAAAACATCATTGCTTCAGGGTTTATTTTTGAACTAATGATCCGTTACATTTTTGTATTATACTTTTACATGTTTGATTTGAAATTATATAATACTTAGGGGGTATTCTTTTTTTAGATTTTGAGAGGGAGGAAAGTTGGTCAATCCGATTTTAGTTTCCATTGGCCAGATAATTGCATTTACCCAGGTAAATAACTTACCAAAAAGTGAATGGGCCTTGAATATTTACGTACAAACCATGCTCCCATATGCTAGTTTCTCAAAAATCTTCTTCTTCATTTTTTTACTCTCTCTCTCTCTTTTTTTTTATTTTCAAAAGTAGTGGGAAAAGGATTAGTTAATGTCTATTTGGATGTCTAGATCTTCTCCCAATTATAATTTCCAATAACCCAAATAGAATACATGAGTCCCATGTAAGAAGTTATGGTCTTTACAATATTATGAGTGTATTTTTTAAGTCTAGATTAAACCCCACCCATATCCCTAGAGAAGGCTTAGCACAGATTAGAGGTCGAACTTGATATGGAGACTAGAGTCCATATGATTTAGCCGTAGAATTCGGTTCTTCTTCACTTCTCCATTTACACTTCTTTTAACCGTAGAATTCGAAAGGATCAATTGTGAACAGGCTCTGCTTGTGCTTGGTTCCTCAATCTCAATGGTTTTGAACACAGTTATTATTACTGTTGCTTTTCTGTTTTTCAAACTCCTGGTAAGAAAAGACAGGGGGAATAGCTGAATCATGATCGAAGGTCGGTTCCAACTTCATTCCCCTATCCTGGGTCTATATCAAAATGGGCCCTATCCATGGACCCATTTTAATCCATGTGCAGTGATGAGGTGGCTAATGCATCCTGTCCATCAGATTATGGACCTTTCCAATGTAAACTCCCTTTCTAGACCTAGGCAAGCATCTGGATGTAATCTCTTTGAATAAAAATGGTCAATGTAAAATTGCTTAATTAGCCACGTGGCAAATTAAGGCTGGACTCGTGTTAACTGCAGAAAGTCTAAAAATATAGCACAAATATATGTAAACTAACAGAAGTACAAACCCAAATCAAAATTACGTCTCTATATATACAACACAGAAAACAGACAAATAGTCTTCTTAGAGCTCAGATGATAAGAACACGGTACATTTTTCCACAGCCACACTTGTAATGGACACTGAAACCTTCTCCCTCTCTCCTAACTGTCACACTTTCTTCCTCGTTAATCTCTGAAACTTCCTGCACCCCAAACATTACTAATTAACAAGCAAGTTTGATTTAAACAAAAACAAAATCAAGGGAAAATGATATATATGATAGAGACTGAGACCTTGTTGTTGGTTCCATCACCGATTTCTTCTTCCATTACCTCCTGCATCATTTCGTTACAGCATTCATTTATCTGTCTCACTCGTTTCTTTATCTGCTCCGATCTCTGTAATTAAACAGAGCTCCTATGGTCATTTACATCTGATAGAAAACAATTAAAAGCAGCTTGAACTAAACCCAGCTTAAGCTTGTGCCGGATTAGTTATTCCCGATTCCAAAATAATCTTTAATTACCTTCGTAGCAGAASTCTCCACCTTCACAGGATCCGACAGTGCAGGATTGGTGATCTTGGAGAGCGTCTGACCGAAATCGGATGATCGGACTGTATCTTTTGTGGGCGGTGTCGTTGTAGTTTCTTGACATGCGGCATTTTTCTTGGTCGGCTCTTGAACGGCAGAGGGAATGGTGGACGGAACCAAAGGTGGACAAGATGGCAACATCCCCGTTTCCATGGGTGTCTTTGGTGTGTCGGATGAGCTAGAAAAAGAATGAAGCCTGTCTAAACCAGTCGCCGCCGGCGGTTGTGCTGCAGGTGGTGATGGCGTGGGGAAAGATTGTGATCGACCAAGAAATTGTGGTTTCTGTGGGGAAGGTGGTGGAAATTTTTTATTTTCGGAGGGAGGGTTCGACTCAGAGTTGCACCGGCGGAGAGTACACAAGGAAGAACCAAGAACAGTGCTTGTGGGGACAGGAGATGAGACCATGTCTGAGATTGAGCGAGGTTTTGGCGGTGACGAGTATGATAACGTTGGATCGACCATGATCTTCTTGTTTAATGGCTCAGAGGTGCAGAGTTCTTGTTCTTGTTGCGGATCCGAAGATGATCGTTTCTTCAGGGAGGAGCCACACAACTCACAGTGGCTGAAATCAGTGCTCCCGAGCTGGAGCATAGACATGGGATGCGTAATAACTGAGTCTAAACCCATGCCGTGATCGCTCCCCTTCTCTTGCTGCATATCTGCGCCTTCAAGATCAAGATCAAGATCGCAATCTGTGTTGCGTTTTCTCTTCTCTGCTCTGCTTTCGTGCTTGCTATTCGCTACGTACGACTGGAGCCGAGGCCAAGCTCGAATGCCTTGAGTGGTTTTTATAATGAGAAGGCCCGCGGGTCGCGACATATTGGATTGGGCTGGGCTTAGTGGATGGTGTAAAGAAGATAAGACCCAAGACGGGGATGGGCTTAAAGGTGTTAATGGACCGGTTTTGGATTGGACCCCGTCCAATCCAAAATCAATTTGGATAATCCAACAAGACATATTGGATTAGACAAGACAAATTCCGTTCAGTTCAAAATCATTTTGGATGGATTGAATAAACTAACAAGACATATTGGATTGGACCAATCCTTTCCAAAATATTTATTAGATTTAATTAGACATGTCCATAACAAATTTATATTAGATTGGGTTGGATTAAGCAAATATCTGGTCCCTTGATATAAGATAGGAATATATGTGTCAATGGACTGGGTTAGGGTTGAAACCAATCTAAATCAAAATGAATTTAAACAGATTGGATGGTCCAGACATTGAATTGGACTGGTCCAAAACATTCATTGGATTGGATTGGACCCAGTCCATTTATAATGGACTCACATTGGACTTGATCAGATTGGACCAAATCCAGTCCAATTGACACCCCTAAATGGGCTCTGTCCTGACACAGCTACGCAGTCCATCTGGATCTGCTCATCACAGAGCACGCCTCACGCTGACCTCACAGTCTGTCTTGACCGTAAGTGGAGAACATCTCCCATTCATAGGAGATGTTCCCAATACAGGGTGGGATGTGGCTGTGAGGTAAGTGCGAGACACGCAGGGTGAGGAACAGATCTCAATTCCCATTGAAAGATGAAGGGAATGGTTATTTTTCAGATTCTGTCCATTGAGACACTTATCTGATACCAATCCATTAGGCCACAAAACCGCATTTTGATTCGTTGACTTCGGAAGACTAGAGGAGGAATTCAATTCTTTTTTAGAACATGCAATCTTAAATGATTATTGACTAACCACTTTAACACCACACACTACAATAAAATCAAAACTACCACTGAAAGTCTTAAAAATTGCCGCTAAAGATTTTACCAGCAGTCAGCAAATTTCCGCTAAAACAATTATTAAAAATTGCCGCTAGTTATAGTTTTAGCAGCAGTCGCCACTACCAAGTGCATTGACAGATGCTAATTTTCTCTAAATCTCGACAATTGAATGTAGCAGCAGTTACACTTTTTTACGCATGCCAAAATAACCTGAAATTCATTCCAAATAACCTATAATTATTTTCAATTATTAAATGAGCTTATAATTTACCTCAAATTATATCTATTCATCCAAATTGAAATAAAATACAAAAAAAAAGATCAAATATAAAAAAGTTTGCGGGTAATTACAAAACACAATGAAAAGTATGCTAAGGGCCCTTAACGCAACCTTTGGTCTCAACATATCAGCTTTATCCCAAAGAGGTTTAGAAGGCCAACAAACACAAAAAGTAATCTTCGCATATAATTTGCATAATCACTGTCTCTTTCACATAGACCTGTTCATGGGCCAGGTGGCCCGGCCTGGTCCGGCCGGGCTTGAACAGGTGTATGGGCCCGCGGGCTTAACCTCGGGCCAAAAAGCCCGGCCTATAATAAATTCGAGTCGGGTTTGGGATTAGCCCGACTTATAATTAAACCTAAAAACCCTAGTCGAATACCCCTCTTTTTTTCACCTCTTTTCCTTATTTTTCCAGCCGAACCCTTCTTCTCCACATCCTCTTTCCCTTCTTTATATTCTTTTTTTAGTGTAAATAAATTCTGAATTATATTGATTATTGAATAGGGAAAAATTCTATTTTTTTTTATTAGGTCAGGCTCGGGCTCGGGCTCGGGCTTCGGGCTTTTTATCAGGGCTGGGCTCGRGCCCAAGTTGTAGGCCCATTGGTCGGGCCGGGCTCGGGCTTGGGCCTAACATATTTCCATTAGTGAAGAGTAAAAGCCCGGCCTGAGCCCGGCTCGGCCCATGAACAGGTCTACTTTCACCTGTATATCTATAAGTAAGCTCCAACCCCATTTGGGCATTAGGATTGGAAACCAATATATCATTATCCATTTATTGGCGCTTAATCTTCATAGAGGCTAAGTTCTGAGCAAGCCTCTTTTTTCCAATTTTCAAGCTTTTATTTGCTTTGCCATTTGAAATCGATATACTATTAAGGATGGCAATTTTCCCCATCCTCGACGGAGACCCAACTACCTTGATCCAATGGGGTCGAAGATGGGGATTGTTTTGGTGGAGTGGGGATTAATAGGAATCCCCGATCAGGGTCAGGGTCGGGGATGGGGATTGAGGTCCCCGCCCCGCCTCAACCCTGATTATATATATATATATATCAAAATATATTTAAAACATTATTTTTAATTTAAAATATTTATTTATTGTAAGTAAATTTGTTTTTCAAGAAAATACTATTATCTAAAAAATTTTCAGGGATTCAGGTCCCTGTGGGGAATCCATCCCCGTCGGGGATCGAGGATGGAGGACAATTTTTGTCCCCGACGGGGATCAGAGACGGGAGTGGGGGTTAATTTCAGAGTTAGGGGTGGAGACGGGGAATATGATCTCTGTCCCGTTGCCATTCCCATATACTACAATCACTCATTGCTCCTACTCCAATAAGATCAGGCCCAAGTAGATCTATCACTATACAAATGCAATATATCAATGGCAAACAAGGATTTGAGTAGCAAAGCATGTTGAGAAGAGATTCTAGCCTCCATACATGAAGGGGGCAAGTTTTAACAATCTGAATGTATGCATTGCACATGGCTACATGAAATGTACAGCAATCAATTAACTCCTTTCAACAACTATATTTACTAATGAATGAAACAGAAACAAAGACGGTGTTTATCTAAAATAACACAATTGAGATACCAATTTACCCTTAAGTTCTAGACTTTCTGTGTTTTGCAATGATTGAGAAAAAATATTGATTATATCTCCAGTTGTGCATTCAACATCATCCGAACAAATAGAGTATAGTGCATGAAGGCATGCACCCATGGAGGCATCATCTACTGTGCTTCTACAACCAAAGCTCATTATAAGTTCTTAGAAGAAAATAAGCAAAAAAGTATGTATCATCTACATCTATATATCTGACCATTTCCCAAATCTTGTGAAAATACAGATGCTAATTATTTTTCCAACCTTTGACACAAGGATCTAAAAGCAAGTTGCTTCAGATTGCAAAAGAAAATGGATTCTCTCTTTGTCTAACTCAAGCAAACAGAGACAGTGAAAGGGACAAAGGTTCTAATTCTTTACTTGTTCCAGTTAGATTTTAAGCAGCATGACATCCAAATTTGAGAGATTATAAACATTAGGGATTACATTTTAATTCTATACCTGAGTTCTGAAAGCTCCTTCTCATTTTCACCTAATATAGTGGAGATTGACCAAATAAATTTCTCATAGGGAACAAACTCAGCATCCATCACTGTTGTTGCGATTCAGGCAAAATCAAAACAAGCCTACCATAGGATATAGAATTAGAGAAATATGAAAAAAAAGTGAAATGAAAAATTAGCCATTAAACAACAAAAAGAACCAGCACCTAAATTTTAATTAAGATGCTACCCACCATATGTAAATCAGCATCTCCATAACATAAAAGGGCACATGCAGAAAAACAATTGATGAATTGATGATTCCTCAGATAGAGTTCACCAGTCAGGCATTTTCTAAGAATCTTAATGGTCCATGTGGAAAAAAGCTTCCACCTTGGTTTATCTTTGACGTCAATTAAGATTCCAGGGCCATTTGTAGGTCTACAATATGTTGGAAGATCACCAAAAAGAGCTAGAGTTTTAGCAATTTTAGCAAGGGGTTTACAGAAACACCTCAAAGACACTCTAGCTATATGGGGTTGGCTACATGAATCTCATTTCAACATTCCGATTTGTTCAATATCATATCTATCATCAAATTCATCACCATTACCATCATCCATGCCTTATCCCAACTATATGGGGTTGGTTACATGAATCCTACTTTGTCAATCCATTCTATTTAAAACTATATGGGCACTCAAATCATTTCTTACCACTTCCACCAAAATCTTATTTGATGTGCCCCCAACTCTTCTAGCCCCTTCAACTTCTAACAAATCACTTCTTATGAGTTTTCGTGTAGATATAGAGATCATTTTACAGTTATGCGACAAAACAAATCCCCTTAATTTCTAAGAATGGAGATTCCACCTGCTGGTTTCCAACACTTACTGACTATCTATTTTGTTTAAAATCAATTCCTTGACTTTTCAGGAGCTTAAGAAAGATCATATAAATTACCTAAAAGATCTGCACACAAGCAAGGAGTAAAGGACACAGTTTCTTTTCATGAAATCTTAACTAATGACTATCTAGCATGTAAGGAATAGAAAAATAGCAATAAATGAATAAGAGAAACAAGGCTAAAGGTTGGACAAAAAAAAAAGATTTTTCTACCCTTTGTATACAAATGGCCTAGAAAATAAATATTCCAAACCCTCAAATTGTTGTTCATCTACCCAAAAGCCACATCAATAATGACCATTCATTTAGGAGTTTGGATGGCTATGAATCTTAACAAGTTTTGATGAGGGCGGATTTGGCCCTCTAGTGACATCATGACACTTGGCATCTTAGAACATTTGGATGACACATAGGCACCACCTAGGCGATGACTTGTCCAAGCCAAAGTGATGGAATTCTAGATCTCGATTCATCTTCGCCACAGACCTGGTGACCTGCCTCTACCGCCGACCTAGCGGCCTGCCTCTTCCGTTGACTTGGCGACCTCAACCACAACTTAGGGAGGCTTGTAGCACATCGTCCAAGGCTGACCTGTGGAACCTCGTCAGTACTATCGAAGTGACCTCAATGAGGAGTGGCCTCCTTCAAGGGCTTGCCAACCTGATTGGGGCCCAGGTGGTGACCTGCGAGACTTTCTCTCCGACCAATTCTGCATGCACATCCCGTCACTCTTAGGTTTCTTGGAAGTTGGCC